GGGTGAGGGGGGATGAAGGGGGAGGGGGTGGGAGGGGGGTAAAGATATGAGTACCCAAATTCTCAGTACGGACTCACTGCATCATTTGCTTATGCCTAAATCATATTTTACCAACCAATCCATAAAATAATAACATTAATACAAAAACAGAAATATGAAATATTGATAAAAGTAAAAACAACTTAGAAATGTACTAAAGTAACTGAGTAGATTTTAAAAATAGCGCACAAATAATTTTTTTAAATAGGAAAAGAAATGCAACGTAACAATTAGACATGATAAAGATTGGAAAAAAACAACAAAACTCTTTCTTTTTTTTACCCTCTGAGTGAAAAAAGTAAGTAGGCTACTCATCAAATTGACCGATTACTCGGACAATTTGAATTTGAATATTTAAAAATTATCCGAGCGATAACTAATATGACCTAAATATATGAGTACTCTAAAAACATGAGTACTCGACTCTAAAAACATGAGTACTCTACTCTAATAACAAGAGTAATCTACTTTAAAAACATGAGTACTCTACTCTAATAACAGGAGTACTCTACTTTAAAAACATGAGTACTCTACTCTAATAACATGAGTACTCTATTTTAAAAATATGAGTACTCTAAAAACATGAGTACTCTACTCTAATAACATGAGTACTCTACTTTAAAAACACGAGTACTCTAAAAACATGAGTACTCTAAAAACATGAGTACTCGCTGACCTTACCGAGCTGGCAGATAATCATGGTTCCTCTTTGTCTCTATCATAATCCCTATCTGTCTATCTGTCTTTCTTCCTTTCATTCATATCTTCCTATCTTTTTTTTCTTCCGTCCATTAATCTATCCCCATCTTTCTTCCTTTCTTCATTTCATATCTCCCTATCTGTCTTCCTTCCTTCCTTCCTTTCAGATCTCCCTATCTGTCTTCCTTCCTTCTTTCCTTCCTTCCTGTCATATCTCCCTATCTGTCTTTCTTCCTTTCATTCAAATTTTCCAATCTTTTTTTCTTTCTTTCTTCTTTTCATATCTCCCTATCTGTCTTTCTTCCTTTTTTCCTTTCATATTTTCCCTATGTTTCTTTTCTTCCTTCCATTAATCTATCCCTTAACTTTTTTGTTCTGTCCTTTCATCTCTCAGTGTAGTCTGCTTTTTACTGTCTCTTTTTATTTGTCCCTATCTTTCTATTTTTCTATCTTTCTTTCATGGGCACGTCCATATACAAATTTTCTTCTTTCCTTTATATTTGTCACTATTTTTCTACCTTTCTATTGAGTGTTTGTATATAATATCTATATTTATCTCTTTCTCTCTCTCTCTCTCTCTCTCTCTCTCTC